AATGATAGGGGTTCCTTGTTATAGTAACTTAGTTTAAGTGCCTTAACAGCAACCCAGTCTGCCAGGGGCTTGGAAGAAGGGCGGTTGGGAGCAAAGTTCTTCTTCAACTCGAACTGGTCAGGAAAGCCCTCAAACTAAGACCAGTTCACATCCTGTATTCCTTCTAGCTGCTACTATGGACTACATTAGCCTTGCAGGCATGTTACATCCTGCAGCCGCCAGAATAGTTATACATGGATTATGGTAGTTTCGTATGGTTTCTGAAGGGACTAGTGCAGAGCCAAGGCACCGGCCGACCACGGTTTGCTTTGTCCGGCACCTGGTGAAAAGTAAGTTTGGCGCTTCAGAGCTTAGGGTTCCCCCTATTATAGACTCCGACCGCCTGCAGTCAGGTCGACTGATGCTAGTACTTGCTGAGGTAGAGCTTATAGCAAGTTACAAGTTCCTTACACAGGGATGCGTGCAGAGTTTCCAAGGCATGGTCGAGTTGAAGGCGTGCTGGCTGGCATTGGTCAAATTGGCCTATCTTCAAACCTTTTATCCTGACCCATTTTAAGCCCAGTCATCTCCTGCAAGTTCGTCATTTTTTCTGGTTGCTTGTGCTGCTGTTGCTGCTGCTGGTGGTGTGCGGCGGAGGCTGGAGGCTGCTTGCCCTGGTACTGGCCGTTGCCCGGCTACTCCCGCTGTTGCCGCTGCCGGTCCCGCTGCTATTGACGTTTTGCGTCCGAGCTCACTCTGACGCATAAGCACCAGGGCTGGGAACTCGCACACCGGCGAATGGACAATCACCGTGCACCAAAGTGGTGGAGGCCGGGTCATGGAGCAACATGTTCACTGGATCTCTCCTTTTTGGTTTGGCCCATCTTGTCGACCCGTTTGCGCAGGTTGGGGTGATGCTTCGGGTGGTTCTGTGCCTTACCCAGCTGCCTCCAGTTGCAGCACATTGATGCCTCTTAAACATGCAGGCCCCAGACGTGCGCTAAGGCAGCCAAAGAAAATGATTGGTACTCCCAAAACTCCAAGACGTACCAGGCCGGTGCTGAAAATGGTGCCGTCAAATAATACTCGCCTCTCCTGTGGTACTTTATGCTAAGCCTTATTCTTCAAGAAGCAGCGAAAGGTTTGGAGGGCTGAGACCAAGGCAATATTCTTGCAAGGGATGACACTGAGCCAATTTTCATACGCCGGACCAGGATGGTTGATTGCCTCCAAGGGTTTCCCAAAAGTCCTTTAAATCAATGGATTTTAAGTGCTGGCCCTTTGACCCCAGTTTACCTACGGAGGACAAGAACAGTTACAACAGCTACGATCGCAAGAATGGCTCGAGCATCTACAGTGATGACTGGCAGCAAACATCCCAGCTCGGACCTCAGGTACCAGCGAAATCCTTGCCAGGGTGCTGAGGCGACTGCAATCAATACTCCCCAGAGAGCACCGCTGCAACATAGCAATTAAATTCTATGTTCCTTTTTATTACCTACATACCCCAGCTGTAGTACGACGGCACGATTCCTGTTTATTACACACTTGGATTCTCGATGCTCAATCCTCTTTGGCTTGAAGCTCTCACACATCCACACGTTGTTGGCACGGGGCAAGTTTCCGTTTTCTTTTCCATTATCCCTCAGGACATAAATCTGGCAGCCGCTGCATGTCTGACATCACGTTGGCATGTCTTGAGCTGGGCATGTCTTAAGCTTGGGTTTAGGGTTTAGGGTTTAGGGTCTGATGCCCCCTATTTTGAGACAAGCCCACATTCTGGGGGTAAGGTCGCAAAGCTGGCAATCTACGAACTCATCGCCTGGATGGTCGCGCAATTCATGTTTGAAAGGGCAAGTGCTTTTAAAGTTTTCAGCGAGACCCGCGTGCACCTCACTAATGTCCAATAGGTGGGTAGATTCCAAAAGGTCGGTCGCATTTTCGTGCAGCAAAGTATGAAGTGCCGTACTTCAATTTGTGGGAGGATAGCCTCAGAATTTTGAGAACAGTCCATGTATGGTCGAAGCCATTTTCGGTCGTTGTGCAAGCGAGGCACAATACAATCCAATGACGAATCTCCAAGCAACATGAGCAATTCTCAAGAAGATGGGTCGTTTATGGTCGTTTCCTAGTATCACTGAAAGGCACGACCCTAAACCTCAAACAAGCATACAGGAGTACCGTGGTTTCAGATGTTTCCTATGTTTCCTTGCAAAGGGGGCTTCATGATTCCGATTCAATGCCTAAGGTGTGTTCATGTATGGAAACTGCAGGTATCGGAATGTATCGGATCAGAGGGGGTCCGTAACAGCGTCGGGTAACGGATCAGGCAACAGGATAAGCCCGGTGCCCTCAGTCCCTCACCGCCAACTGGATCAGCGCTGGGCTCGTAACAGCTCCGGGTTTTCGGATCAGAGAACCACCAGCAACAACGACCCTCTCGGTGTTTTGGGCGCGGCCGAGCGCTGGCGCGTGGAGCGTCCTCAGAATTCCCGTCGGAAACGACAACCCTCTCGATGTTTCGGCCGCGACACCGTCATGCCCAGCTAAACCGGTGAAGGGCAGCAAAACGTCAAGCCAGGAGCTTCAGCTGGGGGCCCTATACTCCTCGAATTCCATCTGAGCTAGAGTTCAGTATACCCCTTGATAACCTCCATAATCTTCTATACAATCCCTTGTATATCCATCTTGAGGAGTTTAGACTATAGCTCATATTGGGTATTCCATTGGTTACCATAAGCTGCAAGTTCCGGGAGCACCCCCTGGCTGGGCATTGGGAGCTTAGGGTAGGCTTGGTTTGGGGATTTAGGGTTTTGCTTTACGGCTTTGGGGCATCGTGTCGAGGGCGGGGGCTCATGGTTCAAAAACGACGACCCTCTCGTCGTACCTGCTCCTGTTCACTGATCCGATTCGTGCCATCCGTGGAGCTGATCCGGTTCACTGATCCGATTCGTGTGATCCGATTCGAGCCTGTCCTGATCCCATACGTCGTTAGCTCCAGGGCGCCCTTGATCCAGCTCGCACCACGGCTTGATCCGTTGCATTTTTCCGATTCGTGTGTCTACTCATGTGTATGTACATGTAAACGCCTCGAACCCCAAGTCCCCAATCTCTTCCCCTGACTGTATAAATTACTTGACAATCCACTTATACATCCTATACTTCCCATTACGTTACAAAAGTAGAAGTAATGGGGGGGTCTTTTATATTAATGGGCCCGGGTGTTTTGTAGTAGGGAAGGGGATTACTTGGGAACATCTGCTGTGGCCAGGAGATACCAGCACCAACAAAGTGAAGAGAAGACTTCATCGGCACAGACAAACGACCGCTGGAGCTCTCAAACTTCTACAGCTTCGCAGCAAGGCTCCTGGGGGAACAAAGCCAAGCGGTCGCCTCAGCTCCTTTGTTTAGGTTTTAGGGTTTAGGGTTTAGGGTTGCCTTCGCTGCAAGAAGCAAACCCTGAAGTGAGGAATCTTCGTTGAACAATAGGATGTTATATGTGGTCTCACCGGTGCATGCGCTCTCTCCTCACTGAGGAGCCAAACAACACAGACCTTGAGGGGGTAGCTTGTTGAGGAATAGTTCACAGATTTGTGGGCTTGAGGATTCCTGGATAGGATAGAGCAGTCCTCATATGGTAGTTTCCCAAAATACGGGGACTCTAATATAGACCCCAAAACATTATAATCCTTATTATGGAGACCCCCAATAAGGTACCCCTAATTTTGGGAAACCCCTTATATAATCTCCAACAGGAATCCTCATGCTCCCCTTACCATTCCCAAGATGCTGGGAGTCTATCCTTCCTCTTTCTGGACTTCACTTCACCAACCAAAATCATTTACAAGCTGTGATATGCTCCAAGGGCCCAAGACACCAAAGCTATGAAGCCACAAAGCCCAATCCCAACCTAAGGGCATGGAGATTGCAGTCCTCTTGGCAAGGCAGGCAGTGCGATAGGATCCAGACGAGGGTGTACGTAGGATGAAGGCTTCAGATTGAACAGGACTGACAGAGGCACTTGCATGGTAGCAGAACTCATATCTCCACACACTTATCCAGCTTGTGCCAGATGCCTGCAATAAAAGGTTCAGTAGTGGCTTGGTTTCAAGCATGCACTTGAAAGGCTGAAAGGTCTAGGATTCGTCAAAGCGCTGATTCAGGTAGTTTCCATTTTCTTTTC